CAGCAAGATAGTCTTTATTTTGTGTGTGTATGTGCGTGTGTACGGTCGTGTGCATGTGTTACGGCACACGTGGAAGTTAGAAGACAACTTATAGGAGTTGGTTTTCTTCCTTCACATCATGTGCGTACCAGAGACTGACCTTCAGGTTTGGTGGCAGGTTTGGTCATCAGGTTTGGTGGCAAATTCCCCATCTACAGAGCCATCCCACCAGCAAGAGAGTTATCTATTTTTTAAAGATTTATTTTCATTATTTTATGTGTACATGTGTATCTGTGCATATTTGTACTGGTGCTTGAGGAAGTGGTGAGCCTCCATGTGGGTGCTGGGAATCAAACCTGGGTCCTTTGCAACCAAGATGCTCTTAACCACTGAGCCAACTATCTAGATCCCCAAGATTTATCTTATAAAAGAAGAAAAGAATTATGTGTGTGTTTAATCATGCACGTGTACTGGTACTTACAGAAACCAAAAAGAGTGTTGGACTCCCTGGAGTCAGGTTTCAGGTGGTTGTGAGCCACCCTCTGTGAACACTAGGAACGCAACTGCAGATTGCTGCCAAAGCAGGAAGTGCTCTACACCAATCCCCTAGGAGTCTACCTTTTTCACAAAAAGGTTTATTTGTTTAATTTGTGTGTGTTACAGTTTTGCTACATGTATGTCTGTGCACCATAAACACACAATGTTCAGAGGCCAAAAGAGCACTAGATTTGCAGTTTAAGAGAACTAGAGTTACAAACAGCTGTGCGATGTCCCGTAGGTGCTGAGAACTGACCTGCGAGAGCAAGTGCTCTCAAACACTGAGCCATCCATCTCTCCAGCCACAAGATTTGGTCTTTTTAGAGACAAAAAGTTAAACCCATGCGGTGGCACACACCTGTAATCCCAGCACTTGAGGAGGCAGAGCCAGGTGGATCTCTGGGAGTTCAATGCCAGCCTGGTCTAAAAAGTGAGTCCAGGACAACCAAGGCTACACAGAAAAACCCTGTCTTGAAAAACAGACAGACAGACAAACAGCCAAAAACTGAGAGCCCAAGGCAGGAAGATTACTCTAAGTCTAAGGCCGGCCTGGGATATACAGTGACATCCTGTCTCAGAGACAGACAGACCATGGAGGAGGGTACTATCTACCTTGGCTGTCATCAGTAGACAAACAGCTCAAGGCTTCAGTCCTTCCTGAGCTGTGGGTGGCTGGACTTCAGCCAGAGCCTCTGCTTATATTTGCCAGAGTTCCAAGCATATCTCCTGGCATGAGGAAGCCAGTGCAGGGTCCTGAAGAATGTCCAGCCCCTACCTCAGCTCCCTTGGCTCCAAACCAGATCTGGCTGCCAAATCCTATAGAAACAGGCTTGGTTGCCATAGCAAAGCCATATGCACTTCCACTGCCTGTTCCCTTGAAGTCTTAGCACATCTTTTCCATCCCAAACAGGCAGGGTATGACAGTCAGGGTCCCTAGAGTTTCTTTGCTTACCTCACACTTGAAGATCTCCCAGAATCTCTACAAACCCTGAGCCTGTTCACCTCCTTCCCTCTCAGCTCCCCAGCCTGACCTCTACCCTCAGTTTTCCTGCCGCTATACCCACAGCACCAACTGGCTGGAGTTCCTTAATTGGCTTCTCCTTCCCAGTGTTCTGCCCCCTTCTTGTATCCCATATCCAGACTCTATACCTTGCCTGCCCAGGCTGAACCTCTTCAGGGCTCAGGGAAGTGAACTTCATCACCCCTCCTGCAAGTGGCCCTAGCCTCACCTCACTGTCCTGCCTTCCCCATATTTGTGGTAGAGGAATCAGGCTTCATCTAGAAGCGCTTCCCAGAGGAGACTAGCCAGACCCAGAGCAGACAGAGAGAGCATTCTGAGGTATATGCCATCCCATTCCAGTGCCCTGATATCTCAAAAAAATCTAACTGGTATCAAACTTGTGGCAACAGGTCTAGGCTTTGATTCCCTTGTGTATTCTTCTTCCCACCTGACAGAAGCTGGGTACACTAAAGTCCCAGGCCAGACAGAACGCAGAGGGCAGGGATCTGCCCGGCCCCATCCCACACTATACACCTGCTTCTGGCACTCAAGGCAGCTCCATCCCTCAAACCTGAATTTCTTCAAGGTTCCCCCACACACACCCCTTCTCCCCTTATACAATGAGATGGCCCTATTTCTTGGCTTCTATACTATGACTTTCTGCCTGGACTTCTGCCTGGGACTTTCAAGTATCAAGTCCTACATTATCAGCTCAGTCCTAGTAGTCTGTTTTCCTTCTGTCATATTACTCTTCCCTAGGACTGGCATTCTGGGCACCCTAGGAGGTTCTGTTGAAAGATGAGGGATTGGTAGGTTCCTCTTCAAGGGTTTCTCATGAACAAGCCAGTCAGAGAGCTGATAAAGTGCTAGAGGCCCACTTGCTGGCAAGACCAGACTTATGGGGACCCTGGTCCATAGCAAGATACAACCAGCTGATAGTTCTTAAAGGTGGGCACAGGCTGAAACTCCACACACATGACACTTATGGCAGAGTGGTCATGACCATCGGCTCCAGATTCAGACACACTGGACCCAAATTCTACTTTGACCACTCAAGAAGGGAATGATTGGGTAAGTTACTAGGCCTTGAAGGAGACTATATCTCACCATAAAACACTGTAATGGATCCAAGCCTGAAAGGAGCTGTCAGAGATAACATAACTAAAAGCTATGGACACACCAACAGCAGCAGCTCAGAGAGATTGGAGTGGATGCAGAGAAAGGCCAAAAGGCTGGCCCACAGACAAGCCAGTGTGTGGGCACACAAGTGACAACCCAAACTTTGTTCCTTCTGCTCCCTCCATGGCGATTAGTAAACTAGGAGCCCCGCTGCTAGTCCTTAAGCGAAGTTGAGCCAGGCAGCCCATCACGGAAACTAAGCTGCCAACACTTTCTGGCCAGCTTAGGTCCTCCTTCAGCTGGACCTTCTTCCTATTTCCTGCATCAGTCATTGCTTCATCCAAGATTTACACCCACTGGGTGCTGGAGAATAGGGAGACACCTCCCCCAAAGACTGTTGAGTCTGACCCCAGGGGAGCTAGAAGCAGGGGGGAAGGGTACATAGCCCCATTTATTTCTACTCCGTGAGCTACAGATCAGCACTAAAGACCCTGATCTTTTCTATTCACTTCCACAAAGATTTTGATAAATAGCTACAAGAAGTTACATCAAGGAACTTCTCTGATTTGGACACCACTCTTGGCCACTCCTTCCTGGTCTGTGGTTAGCTTAGTCAGGCTGCATACAGTGGTTCTCACTTCCTGAAGGGACAGTGGCAAACTAATGCACGAACCTCCAGTGCAGGGTCTGGAGTTTCCACAGAGAAACAAGAATGCACGAAGTGTCTTCTGGAGTGTCTTTATGACTGAAGCAGTGCATGCCACACAGACCCCCAAGAAAGGTATCTGAGCGCAGTACGGCCCAAAGAAGACTGAAGAACCAAGCTGAACGGCTGTTAAAAATGCCAGTAGTGAACAGTCTGCAGAGGAGTGAGCCTGTGTGTGCATGGAGAGGGGGTGAGGGGAGATGAGACTGAAGGGGAAGATCTCTCTAGACCTCAACCTCATCTGATCATCTTGGCCTGCCTCAAAAAATCTAGGCTAGGACAACTGGTCTCTAGTGAGGGTTAGAAGGCAATGATCTGACTTCCTCATTCTTTCCTGCATCTCACCTGAATCATAAAGTTCATCATTATGCATACCAGAAGGCTCTCAGACTTTGCCCTCATCTGCCTCCTACCTCACCTATCACTTGCTAGTGCATGTTCGCTTCCTCCAAGCCCTTTCTCACAGAGCCTTTATCGCTCTGGCTCCCTCGCCTGTAAGGCTCTTCCGGCAATGTCTCAGAACTGACTTCTCCATCAGGTCTTTGGCTAATTGGAAAACACCCTACCAAACGACCTAAGAACGCCCAACACTCACTTTACCTGCAATCAGTTTTTTTCCCCCCATAATACTTGTCATAGTTCCTCATGGGTTTTAACTCTTTTTGTCAGTCACTCGCTCTTTTTAGAATAACAGTTCTGGACAGTGAGACATTTACCAAAGTCTTGAGACATTTTTGTTGTAACAGAACAGGGCTGTGGCTATTACTACCATCCAGGGAACAAAACCAGAAATGCTGCTCAACAGCCTACAATACATAGGACCCTAGAGGCAGAATGATCTGTCTCGAAACCAGATGAGCTTATCAGTTTGGAATCCGGTTCTCCGCCGACTCTCCAGAGCCTAGGATACTTCCTGGCTCAGAGGCAGAGCTCAGAAAACGTAGGAGTGCAGAAAGAACAAGAGAGAGTGTGAAGGAAAGGAGTGACAGACTGATCTGACAGTCAGGCTGATTTATGGAGGCTGAGACCCTAGCTGTTTCAGTCCCGCCCCCCAGGCTAGGCCGACGACCGCTCGCTACGCTCCCATACCAGCCTGCACCCCTTCGCACGGTCGGGATGAAGGAGTCCCAGGTCCAGTGCGCCGCGCTCACACTCACCCGCCCGCGGCTGCCAGGGAGCAGCGGCTACACCCTCCGGCATCATCTTGCCCCTCGGCCCGTGGCCGGGAAAGATACAGGATACAGGAGCCGGAAGGGCCCGGGCGCTATGCATGTCGGAACTTGTAGTTCAAGGACTCCAGAGACTCTGGCGGCTGCCTTAAGCTTTGAGCTTTTTAAACTACGACTTCCGGCGACCTCGGCACTGAAGGGCTGGGTCGGTGGCTTCAGAATCACTCTATGCTGCAGATCGGAATTTGATTGGCTAAATGCCCTCGTCGCTCAAGGACTCAGCGGCTCTACAACCGGGAGGATCTTCCTGCTACCCAAGATACCGCCTCCAAGAAAGTCCACCGAACGATTGGTGGAAACTGCAGGATAGCTTGAGGAGCGTATCAACAGCGGAGGAAGGTGGGCACTTCCTCAGAGATTGCCCAGTCACATAAGGGGCAGTTCTATAAATGCTTGCGCCTCGCGAGCCACCGATCTTTTGGGAGTGAATTAGTGTCGCGCAATGTTCTTCTCTTCTCTTTCTCTGAAGGGCGTTTTGCGGCCAGTGGTCGCCAAAGGAACTCGAAGGGCCCCTCAACTGTAGGCCTTCCTCAAGAGCTACAGTTGGTCTGGGCTCTGCTTTAATCCTTTCCTCTGAATCTTCTGGCTTCCTTTTTTCCAGGTAAGACTAACTCGGGCCTGCTTTCCCTTTGCAGCACCGAGCCTGTGATGAACTTCTTTAATTTCTGACACCTCGTATGAAAACTGCTTGTGCAGTCTGATTACATTACGAGACTGAGGCTTGGGGGCGCTGCCTTTAATTGGAAGGGCTTTGAGTGTAAACTCAGCCAAAGGGAAGATTAATGTCTACGTTATTGTTTGACTTTCAGAGCATGGTGAGTCGGCTGCAGACTTTGACTGTAAATCAGCTACAACTAGAGACCCAGCGGGCAGGAGGTTTTGCTGGTAAGCTGGACATCTGTGTATGTGAATTTCTTAGCAATAAAGCAAAAGTGCAACCTTACTTTGGCTTCGGACGTCATTATTTCATGTGCTGTTAGCACAGTAAAGGATGTGAATCGTGATGAAAGTAATGTTTTCATAACAGCGCTGGAGTGAGCTTTTAAGCTAGTTCTGCCTCAGGAACAGATTGTGGTGCACTCTAATCTTGATAATCCGGGTTTTATGGGGGACTGTAAGTTCCTTTACCCACCCCCACTGAGCCATCCTGTTGGCCTTAGAAGGTGGTTTTCCATGGATGACACAAACTCCAGAAAACAACTTTTTATTAGTGGGGGCTTTTTGAGAACAGGCTTTGATTCCAGTTTGTGGTGTGGTGACTTTAGTACAAAGTGGAAAAGGCTGGGCCAGCCTAAGTGGTATCTTAGCTCTGCAGTCCCAACATTCCTGTGGTTTCCAGCACTTAGCTAGTTTTCCTACATCACAGAGCCTCCTAGTAGAGAGCCGGAAGCAGGCCAACAAGTGGACAAAGATGAGCGATGTAGCCCTTTGTCCTGGGTGGGGTCCTGCCTGGGCAGTGGATAACATGGCTTTTCTTGGGAGGTTAGGTAGCATGTATGCGGCGTGATCCTCATTGCTGGAAGTGTCCAGAAGAGGGCAGTAGAGTGTCGTGGCATGGTTTGCTTCAAAGCGGTTTCTGTGGTGGCCACCAGGGCAAAGGGGTTGAGAGCGTTAGCCTCCAGAGTCTTGGAGTCCACTGGGGGCATCCACTGGTTGAAGTCAACCAGCCTCCTGTACAGCTTTCCAAGGCGGGGCTGCTTCCTCCAGAGTGGGACTGATTATCAGGCAGGTTCAGAGTCGACAGCAGGAGACCCCTTGACCCTCCCTCTTAACATAGTCATGCAGCCTGAAGCGTGGCTCGCTGGAAGCCTTCGTGGATCGCTGTTTCAGCTCCCTGAAGAGCAGGGGGTGACAATAGAGCACAAGGTAGCCTGTTCAACCACTTCCAAAGAGGCTTAGACCATGTTGACTACCAGGACTTACTTTGCTATGGCTGTGAAAGCCAAGTCCACGTTGAGGCCGGTCTTTGCACTGGTCTCCATGAAAGGCAGCCCATACTCCTGCAAATAGCTGCTGCCAGCTAGGTGCTGGCTGGCTGGGGGCAACGCAAGTGCCACAACCTCAGGAACACCCTCCTCACCCTCCCCATTTTGACTCACCTTGGCTAATTTTTCCCCATCTTCCCTCTTCACTGCGCGTTCTTGGGTAGAGTCAACCTGGCCCAGGCACAGAGAGTTTGTTAGTGCCAGTCCACGGCTTGCCCTGTGGTGCCAGGCTGGAGAGGGCAGGCCCAGGTTCCCACCTTGTTCCCTAGCAGCATAAGCACCACGTCCTGCTGGGCATATTCTTGGATCTCTGTCAACCAGGCCTGTATGGGGAAAGCTGTACCAGTCTCAGGGCTGGTCCATGCCCTCTTGGGCCTTTTCCTAGTAGAAGCCCTCCCATGTACCTCACTTGGTACCTTATGCAGTGGTCCTGCTAATGGAGCCAAATGTCACCTAGGCCCCTTGAATACACACCCTGGCCACCATGAAACTTCTGGCCAGTCTTGCCCTATTTCCCCACCAGGAAGGTCACTGACCTGGATGTTGTCGAAGGAGTCTTTGTTGGTGATGTCATAAAGCAGCAGCAGTGCTGGATACAGAAAGCAATGAGGACACCCCTGGGGCCCAGTGGCTCCTTAGTACCCGCACACTTTTAGGTACCCAAGTCACAGGATGTGACCGTATCCCCCACACCTGTTCTCCCACAGTGACTACTCATCCCGTGACCCCATGCCAGTGGGCCACCCAGACTCCTCATGGAGGAGAGCTGGTCCCCATGTCTGGTCTTACCATGAGCATCCCGGTAGTAGGCATGGGTGACGCTTCGGAACCGCTCCTGGCCAGCTGTGTCCCAGATCTATGACGACAGGAGCTGGTCAGACTGCCCAACCTCTCCCTGGTGTCTCCAGCCCCAAACTTGCACTTCTTTAACCTCACCTGCAGCTTCACCTTCATGCCGTCCACATCCAGAACTTTATTCTGAAACAGAACCAGCCAGCACCAGTAAGGATGCCTGCCATCCTCTGGCCTGGGGAATCCCAAAGTTGAAGTAGGAAAGGGAGTAACGCAAAGCATGGCTGAATCCCCCCCCCACACACACACACACTGATGGGAGGCTGGGGAACCCCTATCCCGTTCCTACAGCACCTGGTTCCCTTTCTGCTCTGAGAATTAAGGTCCAGTGTATGCTCCTAGCAGCTGCCTGGTATTCCCTGCCACTGCCTCCAGCACCAAGCCCTGAGGGATCCTCTCCAGGTGAGCCTGCCTGGTGACAGCCTATCTGGGTCTCTTCTCTGGCTGTCCTGAGGCTAGATTATCATGGCCAGCTATGTTCACTTTGGGACCTTGCTAACACACACACACACCCCCCACCAGGTCCTACACAGGTTCCTATTTGCCACGAGTGTAGCACTGCTGTTCCTGCTTAAAGGCAGATACTAGCTTAGTTGAAGTCATCTGTGGTACAAATGATCTGTTGCACTGTGCCAGGTTCCCTTTCTCCAGATGGGTAGATGGGACACCTTCAACTTAATGGGCTACTGTGTACCCCGAGAACTACATCTGCCTGAGGAAGCTAATTTTATCCCCCCCCCCATCAATCACTGGGACACCCCTTTCCCAAGGGATTAAGCCTGTTTAACTCTGTACTGAAACCACAGATCCCAGATCTATGGCTGATGCATATCTATGGTGATATTCATGAATTGGCTGTCTGCAGGTCTTCTAGAGCTGTCCTTTTCAAGATTAGACACCAGACTGGAGTTCCCGTCCAGCTGTCACCCAGAGAAGGGTTGACTAGGGCCTGGAGCCATGTGAGGCTAAGCCTGCCTCCCCCTTTCTCCAGAGTTCCCGCTGTCAGTGCTAGGTCTCCAGGGAACCAGGCTTAGCCATCTGCCTGGCGAGGAAGGATACTTTCTGCACCCCAAGCAGGGGTGCAAACCAAGCAGCCTTACCTCCCTCACCTTCCACCCAGGAGCCAAGAGGTCGGGGGAAGGGGAGGGACCAGGACAGGCAAGAAACATCTGCTCTCAAGTATATCCCATTTGCTTCTGGTACTTCAGCATTTACTCCATCCTATAGTCTTATAACCTAGGGGGCTTGAGAAGACCTTCGATCCTCAGTCAGGATAAAGAACAGTTCCCCCTGGAGGGACCCCCCTCTCCTGTCTTCAGATTGGGCCTTCCTCCCAACCTGCTAACTGGGTCTAATTAAAGGGTGAGAAAAAATGCAAATTCAGGATTTGTCAAGAACACTCCCAACACCTCAGCACATGAGATTCAGGCTTGGGGGGGGGTTGGGAGGGCTTTGTGACGTTGGAGCTCCCAGGACCCTGCCTGGGATCTTAAGGAGGTGTCCACATGCAAAGACAGGGACCTCCTTCATGAACAGGCCATGGGTTCCCTTTCACTCTCAATACTTTGAGGTATAGCATCAGTCCCTGGGACGCTTCAGCTGCATGCAGCTACTACCTTGGATGGTAAGAGGCTTCCCCAGGACCTTCGGGTATTGGAAGGCAGCTGGTTTGGTGGCTAGGCTCCACCCCCTGGGCCTATGGACATATCAGGAGAGGGAGAATTAGCTGGCCAGGGTACTGGGAGGAAAATGTATAAGAATCACAGGAGAGCTGGACCCAGTCAGAGCTCAGGACATCAGCCTCCACGCTCACCCGGAAGTCAATGCCCACAGTGGAGATGAAGGTACCAGCCAGGAAAGCCCCATCCTTGAAGCGCACAAGCAGGCAGGTTTTCCCCACACCGGAATCTCCCACCAGCATGACCTAGAACAGGCAGGAGGGTCAGAGGAGTCAGGCTTGGAGCTGAGGGCCTTGCCCATCTAGAGACGTTTCTGGTCTGCCTTGAGCGTGGGGTTGGGATGGGAGAGGAGATGAGCATTCAGCATAGCCTGGGGAAACACTGCAGCAGGGTCCGAAATAGCCCCTGGCAGTGCCCTGTCACCTCTCCCTCCAACAATGCCACCTCAGTCAATGGGGAGTGAGGTTGGCTGTCCCCGTTCGCCTCTCCTCTTCCCTACCCCTCCGCCACAGACATCGTGCTCGATCTGGGAGAGCAGCATTTGCCTATGAGGAGCAGAACCATGGGACGGCAGCCGGAAACTCCTAAAAGAGCAGTGGGACTCAGTGCCAGGGGCTCCTTCAAATCTCAGCAGCAAGGCTCCGGAGAGGTGTGCCAGTCAGTTTTGGAAGTGCAGAGGGGTTAGGGACGATCTGTGGGCCTGAAGGGCAGTCTTTCCCTCCCCCACGAGCACTGAGGCCGAATGCTTCGGAGCCCAGTGATGGCCCAGTCTTTGGAGGCGGTCAAATTCACACAAGCTTCAGTTTTGGTCTGGACTGGGATGGCCTCTTTCTCTTCCCTCCCAGAAAAAAAAAAAAAAAAAAAAAAAGGCGACTTTATAGCCCCTAGGAGTGAGGGAAGGCAGCATATGGATGGGATTTGATGAGCCTGGAGCAGTGATAGGGGCCACAGGTCGGGGAGGGACAGCTTCAGGACTCCACTCTTCAGGGCCCCTTGTTTGGTGGAGTGGAGAAGGCCCTGCCAGCTGTTGAATACCCTAGACAGGAGCCTAATAGTTGCGTGTGTGTGTGTGTGTGTGTGTGTGTGTGTGTGTGTGGACGCGCGCGCGTGCCCGCACGCAGGCTCGCGCAACAGTGTAAGGTACTGCCGTGCCAGCTGCAAGGTGCTGCTCTGGCCAGCTCAGCGACGAGGGTCCGCAAGGCCCTGAACACTTCCCCGGAGGCCCTCCCTGTAGTCTAGGATCCAACGCCACCTGCTGCATTCCCATGGCAGGGAGGTGCCGGGCTCACCTTGAAAGCAACGTCGTAGAAGTCTCCAGTGCCACCGAGTGAGGGCCGGCCGGACTGCGGGGGCCCATTGGGCGGCGCCTCCGGGCCAGGGCGCGCAGTCCCGGGATGTGCCAGACGGGGCCCGTTGGCGGCGGCAGGCAGCGTAGAGGCAGCGGGCACATTCCCTCCCTTGCTCTTGGGGGTCTTCTTCCTGGACATGGTTCTCAGTGTGTTCCCGATGGTACCACCGCGCCCCGGGCCGACCCACGCCCCGTGGCCGCCAAGCCGGACTCAGACCCGAACCTGTCCCGCAGCAGCAACAGCGGCGGCGGCGGCACCAACAGCAGCATCTCCAGCACTCAGCGCCTGCCCGGGCCCCGCCTCCTCACAGGCGGCGCCGACACTCAGGCCCGGCCTCCTGTCACAGCTGCCAATGGCCGCTCTGAGGCGGAGCCATGCAAATAAGCCCGCCGCTCCGGGGGAGGGGTCAGGAGGTCCCACCGAGGCCGTGTTCCAGTGTACTGGGCTAAAACGCAAGGGGCCCAGCTGTCTACATGTAGGGTCCGCATCTGTGTCCTCTTGCTGCACCGTTTCTTACCCCAGGGTCCCAGCTCAGTAACCTCCCTAAAGAGACTGTTGCCTGGACCTGGGACAAAACTGTGTTCTGAGTTGAGTGTGCTAGGACAGATGGCTTGCATGAATAGTCAGCCCGCGATTTCTTCTCAGCCAGAGACGCCAGCTACCTGACCCACTTGTTCTCAAGGCAGTTCCCTCCAGGGCAAGCGGATCCAGCGGATCCAGGAAGCCCCAACACTCAGGCTTCACGAACAATCCTTGCTACGCCTGAGCACTCTGGGCTCAGCTGATCATAGGCATACTGGGCTCTTCCTCACAGACTTTGCCACCTGGGCTGAAGCATGCGTATCTGAAGTGAGAAAGGAAGTGGGCACCACAAGCAGGTAGCATCAGGTCATCAGAGATAACCATTGCAAGACCTCTGCCAAGGAGACAGGAGGTCCCTTCCCCAGAAGTGACTGGGTTCATGGTCTTTCCATCTTAGGTTCTCACCCTAGAGAGGTCAGTGTTGATTCTCTAGACCCCAAACTGGTCCAGGAGCTGGTATACACCTCCAGGATCTGACCCTGCTGCCCTACCTATGCTGACTGGAGGAGCTCTGTCCAAAGCCTCTCACCCAAGACACTCCAATCTGGAGAATGAGACATCAGTGATCAGAGGAGGTTAAGGACAGGAGATGGTGCCCTTGTGACAGGGTATTTCTTGGTGTTTCTATAAAATGGCCTAGCTGTCCTCCAAGATGTGATCGCTGTCCCCAAAGCTCTGGGTCTCTTGGAAGCCTCTCTTGGAAGTCTGAGAAAGATGAGCTTTCTCAGCCGGCAGCGCAGGTCACTAACGATTCCTTACCTCTGGGGCTCAAAGCCTTCTACCTCTCTCAGGCCAATCTTCAAATCTAAAGTCCTGACCTAGAGTAGGGTATTGGGCTCCCACTTTTGCATTCCCTGAGAACTCCAGGTGTCCCACCCTCACAAGGCCAACCTCAGGATGTTTGGCCCAGGATCTCAGCTGGGAACCTCAACAGCCTGGGCCTACTTGTCCTAGGAAGCAGACCATACAGCCTTCTTCCAGACGCTGGCCAGAACATGTTCAGTACGTGGGATACACAAAGAGTTCCAGTTTTGGATGCTCTGGGGAAGGAGCTGCTATTAGGGTATTATGGGTGTGACTAATGAAGGTAGGGCAGTCATCTTGGAGGAAAGACGGAAGAGGCAAGCCAGAGAAAGTGGGAGGGCAGCAGAGGAGGGGAGCCTCCAGCAGCAAAGGAGACAGACTTGCCTTAAAAATGAGGAGCGTTTACATAAAATCCAAGTCTCTACTTTCTTCCAAGTACCTCAGGCCCCGGCTCTCCCTTCCCCACAGTTCTACTCGTCTTTGATCACTATATCGAAAGGCTCCTCTGTTCCCATCTGTTTCTCACTCTGGAATGTAAGCCTTCTGGGCACAGGAAGCAGCTTGTCTTGGTCACTGCCATATCCCTGGCAGCCAGCTCCTGGCCTCAATAAGCAATTGCTAAATTGGCAAAAGAAATGTAAGTTAGAAACACGGGCCTCATATGGGTATGGTGGCGCATGCCTTTAGTCTTAGTACTCATGAAGCAGAGGTAGGCAGATTTCCGTGAGTTAAAACTGGTCTACATAGCAAGTTCCAGGCCTATCAGGGCTACATAGTGAGACCCTGTCTCAAAAAACAAAACAACAACAAAAGAAGATGGCAGCTGGGTGGTGGTGGTGCATGCCTTTGATCCCAGCACTCGGGGAGCAGAGGCCAGCCTGATCTACAGAGCAAGTTCTAGCCAAGACTACACAGAGAAACCCAGTCTGGGTCTGGGTCTCCTACCCTGGCCTCCGAGCCACAGCAGGGAGACAACAGAAGTGACCCCAGTTTCTTGCACCCAGAGACAGTGTTTTTGTTTGTTTGACAGTGGTTTTCAGAATATAGGTGCCATGATTAGAGAACACTCAAGCAGCCAACGGAGAGTAACTGACTCTCCAGCTGAATAAGCCAGGTTTCTGATGGACACACAGGCTCAGTGGACAATGCTGTGTAAAATAGGGTTTCACTGTATGGACCAGAGTGGCCTCAAACTCAGTCTTCCTGCCTCAGCTTCCCAAGTGCTGGGGTTATAGCAGGCTACCATGTTCCTCTAGCTATGAGGAGATGAGTCTTTTTTTTTTTTTAATTCATTTTTATCTTTATTTTATGTGCAATGTATGTATGTATGTATGTCTATGTAAGAGTGCCAGATCTTGGAGTTACAGACAGCTGTGAGCCACCATTTGAACCCGGTGCTCTGGAAGAGCAGTCAGTGTCCTTAACCACTGAGCCATCTCTCCAGTTCCTGGTATGAGCCTTTTAAAACCAGGTATTTGGGAGATGTTTGTTACATAGCAATAGCTAATGACCCCTCAGACCAAGCTTGAGGCAAGGGACCAGTTTGGTGAGAAAGGGAGAGGACAGTGTGACAGCATTAGTCTGACACTGTCCTTAGTCTGGCCTGGAGTCCCCCAAGCTCTGGGATCTTCAAATTTGCGCAGAAGAGCACTGCTGCCAGGGACTGACCCCCAAGGCAGGGAGTTAGAGCTGGCTGTATGACCCTGTATGACCCTGGAAAGTCAACCTTGGAATGAAAGATGGGTCAGTGCTAGCAAAGAAAAAGATGCCCACACGCCCTTGTTTCCGAATAAAAGGAGCCACCCAGGACCCCTGGAAACCTTGTCTCTGAGTTCTCTTTCAGCCCAGACCTCTGGTCCTCACATGCCCCTCAGCTCTTGTAAACTTCTATCTGGTCTTTCTGGGAGTTGCCCTGGCATAGCATCTCCCAGGAGTCCCCAGCCTGGCTGGTCTCTCCCATTTTACCTAGGCTTCCAGCTCTACCCCTACCTCAGAGTCTGAGGCAGGAATGAGAGCCATGTTCCTGACCTTACAGGTTCTGCTTGGAGCCCTGTTTGCCATGCTCCTCCTGTTCCTACTTCTGGCACCCTGGATGCCCCCCAGTGGTTCTCCAGAAGCTTCTGTACCCATCTGGGAGCTTTCTGAGGACAGACCCTGTGCTGCCTGCGCCTGTCCTCCTCACTGGCATCGAAGGGAAAGCTTTGTGGTTGAGCCACAGAAGTCAGACTGGGCTTCAGTCCTTTAGCAAGCAAGGCAGAGCCCTGAAATCTTGTGTTCTCAGAGCATCTCGTGAGGTTTCAGACCCTTGCAACTCAGCTGTCTGCTTTCTAAATTCCAGAGGAGAGGGCAGAGGTCCCTTTCTTGCTGTGTGACCCCAGGTACTTGGCATCGCCTCTCTGGACCTACTTCCTGTTCTGTGAAATGTGGAGGAGGAGTTGATCTCCAAGGGCCCTTCCTGCTCAAACACCTTATGTTCTATGAAATCCTTGTGAGAGTTGCCATGGAAACATCAGAAGAACTGCAACAGCCCTGAATTGTATGAGAGACTGAGGGAAAGAGAGAGAGGGAGGCAGGGAGAGTGAGAGAGAGAGAGAGAGAGAACACTGAGTCACCCCAGAAAGCAGGCGATGTCAGAGGTATGTAGACTTTGGCACCCAGGCGTAAAAGGTCCAAATATATTCTCCTGAAAAGATACCCTGAGGAGCCTGTTCATGTTGGTGGCCCTGGTTGGCTGTCCCTGATATCTTGCTGGCTGGTAGTAACCGGTAAGTGGCCAACCGGTAAGAAGCACCATCTGTGGGGGGCCAAGCAGAGAGCAGCTGCTTTGCAGGTTAAGACTGTAGAGGCTTATGCGGCAGAGGTGCTCACCACCAATGAAGGGGGGCTTGTGCACACGCCACGTTCATAGGACCTGTGTGGCTGAGACAGAGCTCTCACTTAACATGCAAGAAGCCCTGGCTTCCATCTATAGCACCTAAAACGGAGTTGGGGACCAGTTCTCAGCAGTGCTGGATTCCAGCTCTGAGTGGGAGCCTCTTGTCAAGAGAGGGGGCCAAGTGGATCCACAATCTCGAACAACCTGGAAGCATTGTCATGAAACGATGAAACAGTTCCTTGCTTTACCACATAATCCCTACAGCCACCCATGACTGGCTTCTCTGCAACTAAACTTCCACGATTTCTTTTTTCTTTATAGGGGGGAGTGGGAGGTGCTTTTTGATCCAGGGCCTCTGTTGTGTGGTTTTGTCAATTGCGTATGTTTAAAGTGTACAAGTTGAAGGGCTAGGTAGATGGCTTAATGGGAATGTGCAAGCTGGGCAAGTTTGAAGACCTGAATTCTGATGATTTCCAGCACCCGTTAAAAAAAAAAAAAAAAAAAGGCAGGCTTTGTAATATGTCTCTAACCCTGGCAAACGAAGACAGGGGTATTTCAGTGGTAACAGTCTGGCTGAAACATTGAGCTCCAGGTTCAATGGGAGACTGTCTCAACAACCAAGACAGGGCTGGAGAGATGACTGCGTGGGTCGGAATACAGGCTGCTCTTGCCAAAGACCTGGATTCCATTTCTAGCGCTCAGCCTGCGCGTGTCTGTAACTCCAGTTCTAGAGGACTAGTGCCCTCTTCTGGGCTCCGTGGGTACTGCATGCATATGAGGCACTTCCATACGCGCAGGTAAAATATTCATACAGAATAAAAAATAAATAAATCATCGAAAAAAATAACCAGGCGTGGTGGCGCACGCCTCTGATCCCTCCACTCAGAAAAAGAGAGGCAGATGGATCTGTGAGTTTGAGGCCAGCCGGGTCTACAAAGCGAGTCCAGAGCATACAAGGTTATACAGAGAAACCCTCTCTCTCAAAAAATAAAAATAAAAATAAAGAACAAGTGCTCTTCACCACTGAGCCAACT